CAACCATCCAACGACCAGCAAGGCAGCAAGGCAGCAGCAGCACGCGTGGTGGGTGAGTAGCAGTAACACCCAGTCACACCCACCACTCAGAAGGGATGCGGAAAATGGCCGGTGGTGGTCGTCGTGGCGGCGGCGGCGGCGGCGGCGGCTGGCTGGCTGTGCTGTGGTGGTGGTGGTGGTGGCTGGTGGTACCGCGCTTGGTGGGCGCGTGGCGGTGCGGGTCGTAGTCCGTGTTGCCCATGCCCGCCATGTACTTGCGACCGTCACCGCCGCCCTCGATGGCCTCCGCCGAGGGGAAGGCACCCGGCTGCCGCGAAAACGAGGCATCGCCGCCCTGCCCCAGCCCCGCCTGATGCCAGTGGTGGTAGGGCCGTGGTGCGTGCGTGCGTGTGTGCGTGTGTGCAGGTGTGCGTGTGTGCGTGTGTGCGTGTGGTGCGTGTGTGTGTGTGTGTGTGTGTGTGCGTGTGTGCGTGTGTGCGTGTGTGCGTGGCGGCAGTACATAGGATAATAACAGGAGGGGGTTGGGGTGAGGATGACCACATGGGGGGCGGTAGCGGAGGACCACGTGGCGGTGGGAGAGAGAAGCAGTACCGCCGCCGCCGCTGGAGGGGGAGGAGGAGGAGCCCTTGAAGGAGCTGAAGAGTTCGGAGATGCGCGCAGAGGCCGACGACGTGCTGCTGCTGCTGCTGCTGCTGTCGGATTCGGGGTGGTGGCCGCCGAAGCCGCCCATGGTGCGAGGGGCGCCGGGCGAGGCGAGAGCAGGGGCGCCCGCACCTTCGGTCCCCTCCATGCGCGGCCTCGCCTTGTCCTCCGTGTCGAATATGGCATTCATCAGCTCCTGCGCACACGCCATGCCATACACCAGGGTCGTCCCGGCCATGGCGCGGTGTAAGAACATGCAACGCACGCACGCACGCACGCATAAACGCACATATATACACGGATGCACGTTCGAGCAGCTGCCTGCTGGGCGGCGGCAGCGCTGCCGTAGGAGGGGCCGTAAAGGGGGGAGGGGTGTGTGTTACCTGGGCCTCGTCCCTGATCTGTCGGTAGAGCGCGTCGCCGTGGATGGGGTCCGGCGGCCCCCGGCACTCTACAAAAGGACCCGAAAGGGAGTGAGTGAGTGAGACTGCGTCTGCCAACCACGGCGCGTGCGCCTGATCGTGTGCTGGGCGGAGCACGAGACGATGAGGAGGAGCAGCAGCAGCAGCAGCAGCAGATTGTGACGATGACACCGATGACGACGACGACGACGACGGGGAAGAGGTAGGTACCGAGGCAGGCGCGGATGGGTCCGAGGCGGCGCTGGAGGTCGCGCTTGAAGGAGATCTCGCCCTTGAGGACGCAGTGCTTGGCCACGCGCAGGCATTTGAGCTTGACGGCGGGCGGCACGCTCTTGGTGAGCCGCGTGAGGAGTTGGTCCTCCACCACCTGGCAGTCCTTGAGCGACTTGAACGTGGCCTCTGCCACGGCACACGTTTTAAATAATATTTAAATTACTACGATAATTGCGAAACAAACAACGAAAAGGAAAAATAAAGAATAAGAGGGAGAGGGGGGGCGCACTGGCGAGGTCGTTGTACAAGTACCCGGGGGTGGGAGCATCGTCGTCAGCCGTGGCCTTGTCCACCAGCCTGGCACCGATGCAGTGCGAGTTAGCCCCGCACGTAATAATAAAAGGAGATGAAATGAAGTAATGACTGGGAGATTCATGAGAAGCCACGCCGGAAAGGGTACCCACGAGTGGAAGATGACGAGCTGAACATGGGTGGCAGGCTGTTGGGTGGTGCCAGCAGAAAAATCTTGTGAAATGCAAATTTTCGAAACAAAGTGGAAAACAACATAATTTCGAAAAAAAATTGCATTTCACAAGAATCCAAAGTTGGTTTCCTTTTTGTGGCCTCTTGACGTCTGTGCGGCAAACAACCACGACCACCGATCTGGTCCATCCCTCTGTGTGCACGCCTCTATAGATACGCACGCACGCACGCACACACACACGCACGCACACACACACACACACACCACACACACAAGACATGTCTGGCGAGGCCGATGGAGAAGCGTACTGGGGTAAGCCGGACGAAGCCGCTTCCGATGAAGGGGGCACCACCACCGCCGCGGTAGAGGTCGAGAAGAAGGAGGGGACCCTGGCCCACAACCCCCCCGAGAGACCCGACCAGTCGAAGGAAGAAAAATGTGAAGGAGAAGGTTCTGCCGGCCAGGAAGAAGAAGGGGAAGGGGAAGAAGGAGATGGCGGAGATGGTGGAGAAGGAGAGGACGAGGAGCAGGAAGAAGGCAGTGAGCAGGAGGAGGGAGAGGAGGACGGTGAGGAGAGCGAAGAGGAGGAGGAAGAGGAGGAAGAGGAGGAAGAGGAAGAGGAGGAAAGGAACGAGCTGGCCCAGAGGTGGGCCGCTGGCAAGGGAGGCCTCAAGGGAGCCGGCACCGGGGACACGGGGAAGGTCAAGGGGCCGGCTGGAGCTGTGGCAGAGAAGCACGCGCAGTCCTCCTCGAAGGGCTCGAGAAGCCCCCGCGGCAAGCCTCCAGCCGGAGCAGGCGCCGAGTTCGAGTTCCAAAGGCTGGCCAAGCTGCGCTCGGCCAATGCCGCGCCCGTCAAGCCACCACCGGCCACCATGACCAGCAAGAACGGCGCGGACAGCAGCAAGATGGTCAACTGGAAGGCAAATCTCAAGAAGACGAACAGGTACGAGCGCCCTCGACACTGGCTGTGGACGACTGAGTAAGTAGGTGGTCGTTGACTTGGGGTGTTTTCGCATGCCTCCCCCCCCTTCCCTCCAGTGGGGTCATCGTGAGTGGTGCAGGGCCAGCGGGGTTGTCGGAAAGCGGCGGCAGCAGCGTCACCCGCACCACCAACGCTGCTGGTGCGCAGCATCAGGATGAGGCCCAGATACCGGAGTGGAAGCGCAAGCTCCTGGCGGCCAAGAGGGGCGAGGCCGCATCTCCGGCGGCAAAGCCCTCGCCATCTCCCGCGGCAGCCACAGCGCAGAAAGCTGCCCCGCCGTCGTGGGTGAAACCAGCGCATTCGGCCGGCGCACCGTCCCCGGAGAGGGCCGGCCCTTCGACATCGGCTGCTTCATTTGCTGGCAGTGGTGGTAGTGGAGCCTCGGTAGCCTCATCTCCGCCCCCGTGGGTCAAACCACCGCAGCAGCCGGCAACAGGTAGCGCTTCGGCCTCCGCCAGTGGCGGCGGGGCACCCAAGGCTTCCACTCGCCTCCACCTTGCGTCGGGCAGCGTCCCGGGGCACCAATCGACGCTGTCCCTCCTGTCTCCGCGCGCCGACATGGTCCTGGTCTCTCCGCGCGGGCGAGCCACCGAAGGCTGCGACCCCGATCCCAAGTGGTCCGAGCTCGACAGGAAGAACGCCTCGCGGTACCCCACCATTCCACTCCAGCTCGCATTTGTTGTGTGACGTGTGACGTGTGATGTGTGATGTGTGTTGTGTGTTGTGTGTTGTGTGTTGCCCTGACGTGTCGGCACAGGTACGCCAAGGAGCTGGCGCACCTCAAGGGCAAGTTTGAGAAGGAGGAGCGCCTGCGGAAGAACGCCATCAAGAACCTCAACAGGGCGCACAACGTGCGTCTGTCTGGCCTGGAGAGGTCGTCAGGGCCTGGCCAATGTGGTCGTGGTGGTCGATGCTCACCCGTGGTGGTGATCTGCGCAGGCGCTGGCGGCGGCCATGAAGGAGTTCGAAGTGGCGCGTGAGGCGCTCCTGGGGCTGGAGGAGCAGCTCAGCGAGAAGCGCGCGGAGCAGACCCAACAGCGGATCATCGCCCTCGAGCACTACCTCTCGGTCGAGGTGCCCCCCCCCACACGCCCAGATCAGCCCCCCCCCCGATATGTGGGTACTAACCAGAGATATGCCCGGCGGCGGCGGCGGCGGTGGGGCGCTCAGGCGGCGGGCCTGCAGGAGGCCGATGGTGAGGAACGCCGTAGCGCGCGACCGCGCAGTGGAAGCCGCGAGCGCAAGTGCGTACTCCCAATTGCCCCCTCTCTCCTCCCCCACATCTTGCTTTGATTGATGGGACGTCCACCATCTGCCCCCATTGCCGCCTCGCCTGCAGGGACGAGGAGGTGAAGAAGGAAAGGCGGGACAAGGAGGAGAGGGACGACCGCAAGCCACGCGGCCCCTCGTCCGGCAAGCAGCAGCAGCAGCAGCAGCAGGAGAAGAATAAGGACAAACCGTTGGGCGGCGGCGGCGGCGGCAAGTCGAGCAGGGAAAAGGCCGCCACCCTCAGGTCTCCGCGGAGCAAGGCCGCAGAGAAGAAGCCCTGATGAGCCGGCAAGCGCGCGCCGGGCGAGGAGCGGGTGGTGGCGGTGGCGGCGGCCTGTGCTGTGCTGTGCAAGCAACGCACGCGCGCGCGTGTGCGCTGTTTCCTTTATTTGTGGCCGTGGGGAGTACGAACGGCGCATGAGAACGAGAAAAGCGAAGAGAGGAGAAGAGAGAGTGTGTGTGTGGTGGAGTGTGTGCTTGTTTCAGTTGTCGTCCTTGAAGAAGCGGTTTTCGCCGACGGCGTAGCGGGCGGTGGTCGGGATGTGCTTGTCGGCGCTGGTGAGGAGGCGGCGCTCGTCCCAGGTGGGGGTGCGGAGGGTGCCGTCGGGCTCGGAGATGTACATGATGCGCGTGGCGTCGTTGTAGCGACGTCGGCGGCCCCAAGGCGGGCGGCGAGAGTCGCGCTCCATGAAGATGGTGCCCTTGAAGCTGCGGGGCTCTGTGGGCGTCGGCCGGCGCAGGACGTGGGGCTTGGCCTCGGGCACTTGGGAGCCGTCGGCGGCCTTGGGAGGCTGGGGCGGGAGCTCCTTGAGGGGCGCGCCACGCGGCGCACGAGCGAGACGGACGGCGCGGGCGTGGTCGAGAAGGCGCGCGTCGTTGTCGATGGCATCCTCCTCGAGCGGGAGGCCACTGCCGGGTCGTCCGCCGGCGCGCTCCTCGTCGAGCACGCGCTTGTCGGCGAGACGCCCCACGACGCCGAACTCCTGCTCGAGCAGCTCCACGACGCCTCCGTTGAGCACTTCGCCGTTGCGCACAGCCACGTCGCGCATGCCCATGAACGTGAGGATGGCCTGCACGCGGTCCTTGCGGAGGCCGAAGTAGAGGCTCAGATTCTCGAGATCCCATCGCTTGGGGTCCTCCTTGTGGAGGCGATAGAGCTCTTCCTTGGTCTCCTCGGCCAGCATCGGCCGCGGGGCGTGCTGCCCCCTGTAGTCCCAGATGAGGGCCTTGGCGAGGAAATCCAATTCTGCATTCTCCGCCGCGTAGCGCGCCTCTTTGCTTCTCCTCTTCTTGTCGGCCTGGCTTTCGTTGCTGTTGGACACATACTCCTCTCCTTCGACATCTTCCGCATTAATTTCCACACCATCTTTATCGTCTTCCAAATCTTCCGGTGCCGCAGAGCAGGGGGTTGTGCGGAAAGAGCGCGTCAGCGCTGGTCCAGTCAGCACCAGCTGCCTCCTGCCGCACGACGAAGCGGCAGAAGCAGCGAACAGGCTGCCGGTACTGCCCGAGGAACCTCCAAATCTCTGCACCACGAGTCCCCGCCTCATCTCTCTTGTCGCGCTCTCGAATAACAACAAGAAAAGAAACCAACAAGGAAGGAAAATAAGAACGAAACCTGAAAGAAAAAGAAATTAGGAGGCTGGTCCGCAACCAGACAGACATCAGAACTGCGGGACTCCTGGTCATCTCGCCATGGGAGCGCAACAATCGCAGACGTTTGGCTACGAGGTGGGACCACAAACGGGAGGAGGCTTCAGCGATGCCCCCGTTTGGTCCCTCCACGAGGGCACGCGCAAGGCACGTACCAACAGGATCCCTCCCTTTTTTTGTCTCATCCCCGTAGTTTGGAATCAGCCAAAGGGGGATGGCTGCAGATGGGGGCAACCCAGCTCACGCCGTTATCATTTGTGGTTGGGGGGGGGACGAGGACAGGCGGACGGCATGAAGGTGTCCGTGTTCGTGTTTGATGTGCAGAAGCAGCCCGCGCTGGCCGACGTGGCACGCAACACACTGAAGCGGCTCAAGACGTTGCGCCACCCCAGCCTTGTGACCTACCTCGACGGGCTGGAGCTGCCCACCACCTTCTACATGGTCACCGAGCGCGTGACGCCCCTGCGCGATGCCCTCCCGGACATCAAGACCAACGAACACCACCTCTCGTGGGGCCTCTGCCAAGTGCTGGTGCGTCCTTCGCGCCCCCGCCCCCCAATGTCAACTTTCACGGCTTTGCGTGCCGTGCCGTGCAGCTCGCTTCGATCGTTCAACCGGGGGCGCTGCCGTGGGTGGCACGCGTGTGTGCTGGCCGTGGATGTCGATCGCTGGCTCTGACTGGTGGTGGTGGTGGTGGTGGTGGCGTGGCGCGGAGCAGAAAGGTCTGCAGTTTCTGAATGGAGACTGCCAGCTGGTGCACGGCAACGTCACCCTGTCGTCCATCTTCGTGAGCAAGGCCGGCGACTGGAAGCTGGGCGGCCTCGAGTTCGTCTCCTCGCCCTCCGAGTCCGCTCCCGCGCTCAAGGTACCCCGCCACCGCCGCCACGCCTTTTCATTTTTATCGCCGCAGTCCGGTAGCGGAGCTGGAGTGTGGCTCACGCGTCGCGTGCTGACGCCGTGCCTTGTTCGGCCGTCCAACAGCAACAGCTGGAGCTGGTCGACAGCAGGTATCACTCGCCCGAGGTGAAGCGTGATGCGGCGGCGGCCCTGCAGAAGATGGCGCCCCATGCGATCGACATGTACATGTACGGCTGCCTCCTCTACGAGGTGTTCAACGGACCCCTCAAGAGCCAGGAGGACCTCGTCAAGCCCCGCAACATGCCCCAGGCACCACTCCCACGACCACACAATCACGACACACACGACACACACGACACACACGACACACACAGTCACACACACACACGACACACACGACACACACACACCTGTGTATACACACACACAACGAGAGAGAGAGAGAGAGAGAGAAATAGCCAATGCTTGCTCTCGCTCTCGCTCTGGTGGTCGAGACAAGCGCCGTCATCTCACCGCCAACGTTGCGTTCGCCGCATAGTCGCTCGCGCCGCAGTACCGCAGCCTGGTGTCGACGCCCAAAGGTAGGCCGGAGCCGGCCCAGCTGGTGGCCACGTGTAAATACTTCTCCAATCCGCTCGTCGACGCCCTTCAGTTCCTCGAGAACATCGCCCTCAAGGACTCCCACGAAAAGGACACCTTCTTCGGGTACCCACCGCCACCGCCACCGCTCCATTCTCGCGGCACGACGCAATTGAGGAACTGCGGCGACAGCGCCGGGCGGGAGCCGGAGACGAGCTGGCCACTAATCCGCGCCTGTCGCCCTCCCCTCCCCCCTCCCTCTCCGTCCACTGCAGCAAACTCGGGAATCAGATCGACCACTTCCCCAAGCAACTCTGCACGCAGAAGATCCTTCCCAGCCTCGTCACCGCCCTCGACTACGGCTATGGTACCCCACCCCCACCCCCACCCCCACCCGCCGCCGCCTGCTCCCCCTTTTCGTTCGTTGGAGGTCTTTGGTATATATACCAACTCTCTCTCTCCCTCCCCCACTCGCCCCTGCAGCCAACTCGCGAGCGCTGGGTCCGCTTCTCAAGATCGGCTCCCAACTGCCGCCCGACGACTATGCCGCCCGCATCACCCCCAGGTGCCCCCCTCCTCCTCCTCACATTGTCTCCGCTGCTGGCTGGCTGGCTGGCTTGCTTGCTTGCTTGCTTGCGGAGCTGCAGGCCAAGAACGACGTCGTTCGGTGGGGGGGGGCGACCATGGGTTGTTTCCTCACCTCGGTGAGGTGTGGGGTGGGGTGTGGTACCATGGTGCTGCAGCGTGGTGAAGTGGTTTGGCTCCACGGACCGGGAGATGCGCACCAACCTGCTGAGCAACATCGAGAGCTTCGCCGAGCACCTCACGCCCTCGCTCATCAACGACAAGATCTACACCAACCTCGCCCTGGGCTTCTCCGACCTCTCGCCCAAGCTGCGCGAGCTCACCATCCGCTCCATCGTCGTTCTCGCCCCCAAGGTAGCTCGCCCGCTCCCGCCCACGCCCGAGGACACCCCCC